TGGGAACTGGGAATGGGAACTGGGAATGACTGGGAATGGGAACTGGGAAAGGGAACTGGGAATGACTGGGAGTGACTGGGAATGGGAACTGGGAATGGGAACTGGGAAAGGGAACTGGGAATGACTGGGAATGGGAACTGGGAAAGGGAACTGGGAATGACTGGGAATGGGAACTGGGAACTGGGAATGGGAACTGGGAACTGGGAATGGGAACTGGGAATGACTGGGAATGACTGGGAATGGGAACTGGGAACTGGGAATTGGGAATGGGAACTGGGAATGGGAACTGGGAATGGGAACTGGGAATGGGGACTGGGAAGTGGGAATTTCGATTTTTTCAGGAATTTCAGGGGGAATTTTGGGCTCTAAAAATTCCCAATTTTTTTCCAGGGAATCTGGGATGGATTTTAGGGAATTTTAGGGGATTTTGGGATCCCAAAATTTCGATTTTTTTCAGGATTTTAGGGGGAATTTTGGGCTCTAAAAATCCCCAATTTTTTCCAGTGGATCTGGGCTGGGTCTGGGATGGATTTTAGGGGATTTTAGGGAATTTTGGGGACCGAAAAATTCGATTTTTTTCAGGATTTTTGGGGGAATATTGTGCTCTAAAATTCCCCAATTTTTTCCAGGGAATCTGGGCTGGGTCTGGGTTGATTTTAGGGAATTTTGGGTCCCAAAAATTCGATTTTTTTCAGGATTTTTGGGGGAATTTTGTGCTCTAAAAATCCCCAATTTTTTCCAGGGAATCTGGGCTGGATTTTATGGGATTTTAGGTGATTTTGGGTCCCAAAAATTCGATTTTTTTCAGGATTTTGGGGGAATTTTGTGCTCTAAAAAATCCCAATTTTTTTCCAGGGAATCTGGGCTGGGTCTGGGTTGATTTTAGGTGATTTGGGGATCCCAAAATTCTGATTTTTCCCTCCCCAGGGGAGCTGGATCCCGAGAGGATGGGCTCAGGGATCCATCTGGGACCCCAAAATTTCGATTTTTTGGGGGAATTTTGTTCTCTAAAAATCCCAATTTTTTTCCAGGGAATCTGGGATGGATTTTATGGGATTTTAGGTGATTTTGGGTCCCAAAATTTCGATTTTTTTCAGGATTTTTGGGGGAATTTTGGACTCTAAAAATCCCCAATTTTTTCCAGGGAATCTGGGCTGGGTCTGGGTTGATTTTAGGGAATTTTGGGATCCCAAAATTCTGATTTTTCCCTTCCAGGGGAGCTGGATCCCGAGAGGATGGGCTCAGGGATCCAGTACGGGGACGCTTCGCTCCGNACTGGGAATGGGAACTGGGAATGGGAACTGGGAATGACTGGGAGTGACTGGGAATGGGAACTGGGAATGGGAACTGGGAATGACTGGGAGTGACTGGGAATGACTGGGAATGGGAACTGGGAATGACTGGGAATGGAAACTGGGAATTGGGAATTTCGATTTTTTCAGGAATTTCAGGGGGAATTTTGGGATCTAAAAATTCCCAATTTTTTCCAGGGAATCTGGGATGGATTTTAGGGAATTTTAGGGGATTTGGGGATCCCAAAATTTCGATTTTTTGGGGAATTTTTGGGGGAATTTTGGGCTCTAAAAATCCCCAATTTTTTCCAGTGGATCTGGGCTGGGTCTGGGTTGATTTTAGGTGATTTTGGGTCCCAAAATTCTGATTTTTTTGGGATTTTTTTCCCATCCCGAGAGGATGGGCTCAGGGATCCATCTGGGACCCCAAAATTTCGATTTTTTGTGGATTTTTTGGGGAATTTTGGGCTCTAAAAATTCCCAATTTTTTTCCTGGGAATCTGGGATGGATTTTATGGGATTTTAGGTGATTTTGGGTCCCAAAATTTCGATTTTTTTCAGGATTTTCGGGGGAATTTTGGGCTCTAAAAATTCCCAATTTTTTTCCAGGGAATCTGGGCTGGGTCTGGGTTGATTTTAGGTGATTTTGGGTCCCAAAATTCTGATTTTTTTGGGATTTTTTGGGGGAATTTTGTGCTCTAAAAATCCCAATTTTTTTCCAGGGAATCTGGGATGGATTTGGGTTGATTTTAGGTGATTTTGGGATCCCAAAATTCTGATTTTTCCCTTCCAGGGGAGCTGGATCCCGAGAGGATGGGCTCAGGGATCCATCTGGGACCCCAAAATTTCGATTTTTTGGGGAATTTTGGGCTCTAAAAATTCCCAATTTTTTTTCCAGGGAATCTGGGCTGGGTCTGGGTTGATTTTAGGGAATTTTGGGTCCCAAAATTTCGATTTTTTTCAGGATTTTTGGGGGAATTTTGTGCTCTAAAAATTCCCAATTTTTTCCAGGGAATCTGGGCTGGGTCTGGGTTGATTTTAGGGAATTTGGGGTCCCAAAATTTCGATTTTTTTCAGGATTTTTGGGGGAATTTTGGGCTCTAAAAATTCCCAATTTTTTCCCGGGATTCTGGGATGGGTCTGGGATGGATTTTAGGTGATTTTGGGTCCCAAAATTCTGATTTTTTTTTTATTTTTTGGGGGAATTTTGTGCTCTAAAAATCCCAATTTTTTTCCAGGGAATCTGGGATGGATTTTATGGGATTTTAGGTGATTTTGGGTCCCAAAATTTCGATTTTTTTCAGGATTTTTGGGGGAATTTTGGACTCTAAAAATCCCCAATTTTTTCCAGGGAATCTGGGCTGGGTCTGGGTTGATTTTAGGGAATTTTGGGATCCCAAAATTCTGATTTTTCCCTTCCAGGGGAGCTGGATCCCGAGAGGATGGGCTCAGGGATCCAGTACGGGGACGCTTCGCTCCGGCAGCTCCGGCAGCCCCGGGGGAACCCGGCCCCAACCAGGCAGAGCTGCGGCTGCTGAGAGCCCCAAAACACCCCAAAAACACCCCAAAAACACAGGTGAGA